ACACGCACGCATGCATTAACCCAGAAATGTAAAAAGCTTTTCCCTCAGGTAGTGTGCGCTTGAAAGTGGGTCGATATAACCCCCTTGGGAGGAGCCCTCTTGACCAAGGACTTGCCCAAGTGTGTCCTTAATGAATGGAGAGAGCAGCATGGTGATGAGTCATCTTAACCAAAGTGGTCAGAGGGCCCTAGAGCCAATCCTGTAAATGGTCCAAATTCAAAGGCTCAGCCTGTAACAGCCATGAAGTGATCTGCCACTAATCATAATTGTGTAACAATCTCATTAGTCTTCCATGTTCTACATAATAAGCCACATAGCTGTGATTCCTTCCGACAGCGTATGGCCTCACGCTTATGGTTTATTTTTGTCAAATCGTACTTGTTTTAGTCTTTGTCTTGTCTTTGTCCTATTTAGGGCTTAATAAAGGGGTATCTAGAAAATATATTTTAATTTGGGGTTTATTTTTTCCCCCAGAACATAATTTTGGCCATTCTAGGTACCTGTAAAAATGGGAAGTAATGGTGCCAAATCTGCAGAAACGGAAAACTATCCAATGCTAATTCCTGGTTTTCTTTTAATTAATTTACGATTTAAAAGCTCTCAAATGAGGAGAAGCATACTGCATTTTCCTTCCAACCCTGATAGTTCCAGTTTGAGTGAGTTATTCGGAAGTTGGTTTGAAAGTGAAGAAGGTGGTAGTCAAAGGAATTCACTTCTTGGTAACAAGAATTTTTAAAAAGGAGTAAATTTGGATAAGCTTGAAAATCACACATTATTTTAAGTTACAATTGAAGAACTGAAAATAATTGCCCATTACTGCACTTTTCAGAATCAGAAAAACTGGTTGCCATTCCAATGTCTGCGTAAGCTAGTAATTCACTACTTAAGACATGTAAGTCGGATCCTTTTCCGGTTCATAAGCATGATGATTGGGTTTTCACGCGTCTGTGTGATATGTGCCTCCCTTAATACTTGTTACGACGCCGGCACATTACCCGTCTGACACGAAAGAAAAAAAAAAAAAAGACATGTAAGTCTGTTCAACTGCACCTGAATTCCCTCCCTCATCCCTAAGAGAAGATATAACAATAACCACTTCTAGCTCTAAATTTCTAGTTCCTAGATATGGCAAATCCAATTCATATACGCACTATTATAAAGCATTTTATAGAACATTTTAACAATATTTAAAAAGACGTAAGTATACTGTCCTACCCCATTCATTCATGTATATAAGTAGGCTCATTTTTAAATGTTTTACTCTTCTACAAACCCCTCAACTCCCTATTCCTTTCCTAGAAATTCACCTTGTTATTGTTGTTGCTGCTGCTGTTAGGTAATGTTGAGCCTTGCAACGGGTAAAAAATAAATCACTAACATCCATTCCAACTCAAAAGAATGCTGAGGGGTAGAGGGGAACTAAGGAGCCCTGACAGCGTAGTGGTTACGTGATGGGCTGCAAACCACCGGTCTGCTGTTTAAAGCCACAAGCCACTCTGCAGGCGAAAGACAAGGCGGACTACTCCCAAAAAGAGTTACAGTGTTGGAAAGCCACAGAAACAAATACACCCTGCCCTACAGGCTCACTCGGAGGCAGAACGGACTGCCTGGCAGTGAGTGATTGAGTGGAGAACTATTCCCACAGCATTTCCCAGGCAACAATCTTTATGGAAACTGAATGCCATATATTTCTCCATCTCAGTGAGCAGCTGGAGGATTCAATTTGCCACCCTTTCAGTTAGCTGTCCAGCACGCTAGTCAGTGCACCACCAGAGCTCCTTAGAAAAACTTTGTTTTTAAACCTGGTGCAGTTGATTCCAACTCATAGTGATCCTATAGAACAGAGTAGATAACATCATAGTTTCTGAAACTAAATCTTTAGAGACAGACAGCTTCAGCTTTTTTGGAGGAACAGTTAGATTTAAACAACCACCCATACAGTTAGCAACCCAGTGCTTAACCCACTGTGCCACCAGGGCTTCCATATATAGTGTGTGTTAATTCTGAAGGAATATCACTTCTAAAAGCTTAACCCTATATTCCCCATCCTAATAATTCTATCTGAAGCTTAACCTAAATTACTCAAGTATATTCTTTTTTACTTGCAAACAACACTATTCCATGTTAATCACACCGTTTCCTTATAACCCCTAAAAACAGCTCACTTTACAGAAGTGGTTGCTGCCATGCCAAGTCAACCCCAACTTGACCCTCGCCACTGAATGAAAACTATGTTTAACATAACTATAACACTGGGTCAGTCAACCAACCTGGGACAAACAACAGATTCCAAACACATTCTTTACAAGCAAGTGATCCTATCCTCTAAATAATTCATATTCTTTTTTATAATTCCCATATTCCCTCTACCTTCTTTTTAAAAATACAGCAGAGAGCCTCGTCTTGCTCCAGAGGAGTGGGTGGTGTGGGTTTGAACTGCCAACCTTTGAGGTTAACAGAGCAAGACTCACCCTACAGTACTAGCAGGGCTCCTAAAAACTTACTCACTGCCATCAAGTCAGTGTTGACTCATAGCAGGGCTCCCTAAGGAGTTGATAAAACTTAACTATGGAACAGCACCCATCCCTCTCCTCGGGCAGTATACTGTTCGCCAAACAAAACTGGTCTTCTCTCCAGCCTAAGAACCACACAAGTGGGGCATCACTATTACTAGCTGTTGTTGTAGCTGTTAGATGCTTGTCAAGTGCCTGTCTGTTCCAACTCAAAGTTCCAACTCAGACTATAAACCACAAAATACTCATTCCCGTGCCACCCTCGGCAATCCTTGCTGTATTTGAGCTCACACTTGCAGCCATTCTGGCAGGCCATCTTCCTCATTTTGGCTGACCCCTAAACACAATGTCCTTTTCTAGGGATTAAGCTCTCCTGACAACAGGCCCAAAATAAGGAAGTTTTACCATCCTCACTTCAAAAAAGCTGTACTTAATAAAAGGCAGATGTTTGTTCTTCTGATAAGACATGTTCAAGATTCGACACCGATACCACAATTCAAAAGCAGGTTCCGTCTTGGTCTTCTTTCATTATCCAGCTTCCACATACATATGGGCCAACTGACAATGCTCGGGTCAGGAGCACCTTAGTCTTCAAAGTGACATTTTGCCTTTTTAATACTTTTAAGAGGTCTTATGTAGCAGATGTACCAGTGCAATATATCATTTGCTTTCTTGGTAGTTGCTTCCATTTGGCACTGATTGTGGGACCAAATAAAACGAAATCTTTGACAGCTTCCATCTTTTCTCCACTTATCATAATGTTGTTTACTGTTCCAGCTGTGAGGATTTCATTTTTGAAATCCATACTGAAGGCTGTAGTCTTTGATCTTCTTCAACAGTAAGTGCTTCAAGTCTTCTTCACTTTTAGCAAGCACATTTGTTATCATCTGTTTATCGCCGACTTTTCATGAGTCTTCCTCCAGTTCAGATGTGGCCTTCTTCCTCATATAGCTAGCTTCTCAGATTGTTTGCTCAGCACACAGACTGAGTAAATATGATGAGAGAACACAATCCTGACACACACATGTCCTAGCTTTAAATTGCACAGTACTCTTGTTCTGTTTAACTGTCTATGAATAGGTTCCATGTGAGCACAGTTAAATGTTCTGAAACTCCCTTTCTTTGAAATGTTTGCTTTAATGTATTACAATCCAGTCTATAGTTTTTGGATAGTCAAAAAAAAAAAAAGTAAACATCTTTCTGATATTCTCTACTTTCGGCCAATATCCATCTGACATCAGTAGTAATATCCCTCGTTCCATGTACTCTTTTGAATCTGGTATGAACTTCTGGCAGTTCCATGCATATGTATTGCTATATTTTTTAATTATCTTCAGCAAAGTTTTACTTGCCATTTGATAGTAGCAGTAAAGCTAAAAAAAAAACAACACTGCCATTGAGTCAATTCTTACACATAGTAACCCTACTTGGGTTTCCAAAGCTTTATAAATCTTAAATAAGAGCATACAGCTTCATCTAGCTCCCACTGAACCACTAGTAGTTTTGAACTGCCAAACCTATAATTAGCAGTCAAATGCTTACCTGACGTTGCCACCAAGTTCCACTGATGTTCAATTGTTTCCTATTCTGTTAGACTACCTTTCATAAATATGGATCTCTTCCAGTTGGTTGGCCAGGTAACTAAATTCCAAATTTCTTGGCATAGACCAAAGTGACCGCCCCAGAATGTTTCCATTTACTGAAGCATCTCCACTAGTATTCTATCAATTCCTGGAGCGTTGTCACAAATTCATTCAGTGCAGGTTAGGCTTCTTCCCTCCCCACCATTGGCTCATGATTATATGCTACCTACTGAAATGGTACAATGATTCTGTATTCTGAATTCCTTTGATTTCTTTTACATTGTACTATCTTGCCCATTTGTTCACAATTCTTCATTATTTCAACTTGAGGTTTAAATTTTCCTTCAGGTCTTTCAATTTAAGAAATGCTGAGCACGTTTTTCCCTTTTGGTTTTCTAACTGTACATTTCATTCTGTACATTTCATTCTATTTTACTTTTTTTTTTTTCTATTTTACATTTTGTCTTCTTGAGCTGCCCTCTGAAATCTGTTCAGCTCTTACTTCCTATCATTTCATCTGCTCATTTTAGCTATTCTTCGTTCAAGAGCAGTTGCAGAACCTGTCCTAACGCCCATTTTGATCTTTTCTTTCTTTTTCTTAATAGTCTTTTGCTCTTTTTATGTATGATGTCCTTGAGGTCACCTCACAACCCAATTCTTGACGTGGTCTCTACATCTGGGGTGATATGTTTATGGCTGTGGTTCTCACTGACTTATGAACAATTGATGGTCCACCGTACAGTCAGTCTCTGACCTTGTTCTGTTTAATATTGAATTTTAATCATCTCTTCCCACAGATGTAGCTAAAGTAATCCCTACTTGTGTATTCCATCTGGCAAAGTCCATGTGTATAAATGCCATCTATATTGTTGAAAAAGTTATTTCCCAGGAGTACCATTGGTCTTGCAAAATTGTGTGTATCACATGCTCTCTTGTGTCATTTCTAACACCAAGAACATATTTTCCAAATACTGAAAAGGAACTCCATTACTTCTAAGGAATAGGTATAAAATCTAAGGAAATTACTTCTAAGGAAATAAGTATTACCTCTAAGGAAATAGTTCCACAAGGTTCCATCCTTTCCCTCCAAAGAGATACATATTAGCTTCCCTCAAATTACAAGATCCTGCAAAACATCTCAAGGATCTCCAACCTCTCCAAGCACTAATCAAACATTCAGCAAAAAAGGAATACCAAGTCACCTCATTCCAAAATGCAGGGCATATTGCTTCAAACTAAGACTACTACTCTTTAAAGGCTTGTCTACTAGGGCTTTGCCTTCTGGTACTTTTTGCAAACACTGGTGTCACCCTTGCTGGTTTGCCACTCATTTTTCAGCTGCTTAAAATGTAGACATAAGAAGTCAAAATCTTTTAAATGATCTTTTGCTTTTTTTATGTATAATGTCCTAGATGTCATCTCACAACTCATTTGGTCTTCCCACCATGAGTGTTCAATATGTCACCTCTATTCTAGAGATGGAAAAGAGGGAAACCAACTGTCAGGGCACAAAGAAGGAGAGCTTTCAAAAGGACAGCAAATCACAATACATTTCACAAAGAGATGAGAGCCTTTATACTTACAGTTGGTACATATTCGGATGGAAATTTGTTTGTTGTATAGGATATCAGGAGACATGTTTTACCAACGGCACCATCACCTACAACAACACACTTTATGGTCTGCATTGCTGAAATAGTTTTGTATCCACTTTTAATTTCAAACTCGATGTTGACCTACAAAAGATTAAAGATATTTGTTTTAATTCTTTAAGCAATATTAATCTACGTATGTTTATCTCAATTAGCAACAGGTTCACGGATTCAGAGCACCACAGCGGCTATAGACGAAGAGACCTAAAAGAAGAGAATCAGTGACTTGCTAAAGCCAATTTTCTAAATTTCTAACCCCTGGTTATTTCAACTTGAGTGTTTAAAAGAAAAGGCCTAGGTGGTATAATAAGCAGCAAAATGTTTTTAAACAAAAGACAAGAGTCTAAAATAGCCATGCATTACTTTGTGAAACCGTTCCTTCAATTGTATGTACACACACACAAACATGTATAAACCTTTACATGTAATAGAATGCATACAAAGGACGCTGCTCTGAAGAACAGCTAATGGGCCAGCCTTAGAGCTTTGTTACTGGGGCTACAATCAATAGACAGATTACCGCCACTACCTTCCTGTATTGAGGTGGCTTCAAAAAGTTTGAAGTTTATACAACCCTGAGCATTATCACACCTAAACTGGGAAAAAATTGGAATTAAAAGATAATGGACTTTTCCCACAAACTTTTTGAAGCTCCCTCATACATGAACAGCATGGGAAACTGAAAAAACATCCAGAGTGATTTATACCTAGTCTCGAGTTGATTTCCACTGGTTGCCTAATTACTAATTCAATATTTATGGCATGAAGCAGTCAAAAATCTATGTTTTATAATATAAAATATTGTTTTAAATCAAAGGGCAAATATTGTATGACCCCCCCCCCTATATAAGAAAGCAAATACGTGGCAGAGTTTATTACTGTTCCAGGAGGTGGAGTATCAATGTTTAGGAGACATCGGTTTTCTGCTAAATTGTGGAATAACAATATAGAAAAGGACAGAAGTGAAACTGCACATGATAAACATCATCTAGGCCTTGAATTGTACATGTGAAAACTAATGCTGAATTGACAAATGTTTTGATTTATTTATCATACTTTTTTAAAAAGGAAATACCACCCCACGTACCTAAATTTTAAAATAAATTGCAATTTCAATTAGAACTTTAAAGGAGTTACAATTTGTCTAGGCTGTCACTTTATTAAACAAAAAAATCATAGATGTGTGTTCCAATAGCACCTTCACAACACTTAATCAAACTGACTGATATCTAAATGCCTGTAACTGACTGATACCTATATGCCTGTTAACATTTCTGTATTCCTAAACTGCTAACATCTCACTCACTACTGAATTTCTAGCACTTACCACAGTCACACACAATAAGTTAATTCAATGAAAAAACAAAACACACACACACAACTCACTAGTAGTTATAAATAACAGACAGAAAACATACAACTCTCCCATTCTCATCAAAACTATTTTGGCTCTCTAACCTTTCAACTCTCTAACCTTTCAACTTTCAACCTTTGACTCTCTAACCTTTCAACTCTCCGTTTTCCACTCACTAATACAGTAATAAAGGTTAAAGAATTTAACCTCTGAACCAAATCAAAGTTATCTATTAAAATAAGCAGCACGAACCAGTGGAGAGGTCTGAGGGGCTGGCCCCAACCCCAACTACTACGTGGACACCTGCCCCTCCCCCCAGAAGAATTTATTTTAAAGGAAGGACGGCATTGAATCTGCAGCTCCGAGAGAGGGACATACCTAATCACCACACACGAGAGCAGATGAAGGGGGAGGAGGAGAAAGTAGCACACATCCTGGTCCACCAGGCCTGGAGGACAATGTTCTTGATTAGAGCAGCCAGTCCACAGAAAGGACCACATGGTCGGCCCCACTATGAGACATGACGTCTCTCACTGACCCATAGCCCTATAGGGGACAACACCAGAGACACAGTGTGGGAACTGTGCCCTATCTGATTCCGCCATACCGAGGCAAAACACTAAAGGGATGCAACAGAACAGCAAGTGAACGGAGGAGCGAGGTCCCCAGGGAATGCTGAAGGTGGACTTTGGGGCCAAGGCGTGGTACCCCAACAGACTGAACTGGAAAACACTCCTAAAGGCCAACAAACAGTCCTTGAACTAACCACAAACTTTTCTTTCTTGTTGTGTTTTGTTTTGGTTTTTTTGTCATTGGTTTGTTGTTGTTGTTTTGTTGTATATTGTTACTTGGATTTGCTCTGTCTTGTTTTTGTGCATGTTATTATCTCCAC